GTGTGCCCAAGTGTACCCAGTATTTAACTCCCAGTTATGAATGAGAAAAGGCAGTGTTTGGCTTTCTGTTCTTGAGTTAATGCTCTCAGGATAACGGCCTCCAGCTGTATCTATGTTGCTGCAAAGGACGTGATTTTCTTTTTTATGGCTGCATAGTATTCCGTGATGTATACGCACCACATTTTCATTATCCAGTCCCCCACTGATGGGTGCCTGGGTTGATTCTATGTCTTGGCTATTGTGAATGCTGCTGTGATGAGCATACAAATGCAGATCTTTTTCATTAAACAGTTTATTTTCCTGAGTAGATACTCAGTAATGGGGTTTCTGGGTCAAAGGGTAATTCTATTTTTAGTTCTTTGAGAAATCGCCAAACTGCTTCCTACTGGGGCTGAACTAATTTGCATTTCTACCAACAGTGTATTTTTTGTTTCAACAACTCAAGGGAATGAGGCTCCTCTCTTCAGTCAGATGGGAAATTCCTTGTGGTCAGAGACCATTTCTTTGGCTTCTCTGCTGCTGAAGAGTCCCCATGCCTAGAACTGGGCACAGAGCGGGCACTGCAGAGTCCTTGAGGATGAGCGGGGGCTATTTCTGCCCCCCCGTGACCCTCTGCCCCTCCCTTGGGAGAGGAGGCTGTTGTCTATCATTTAGGTTCTGTATCTGGTTCCTGCTGAGATCAGCTGGCATAGGGTCCCTCTGAAATGCTGTCTTAGTTTGAGTTCTCCCAAAAGCGGTTCCTGAGACAAGGACTGGGGTGCATGCAGTTTATTTGGGAGGTGGCTGCAGGAAGCCTTGGTAGGGAGTGTGGAAATGCGTCAGGGAAAGGAAGAAAGCCCATAAATGGCGAGGCATGAGCAGGGGACAGGGATCTCTGCCACAGAGGCCAGCCAGTGAGAAAAGGAAACCCACCCCTGCTGTGGCTGGCTTGGGTCCGTCAGGCTCGGGGCTGGCCCTGTGCACTGTCTCTCCAGCTGCTTCAACTCAGCTAGCGGGTCATCAGTTGGGCCATTGCTGGTTTTCACCCACGCATGCTAAGGGTACCACATTGATATCTGGGGTTTGATTTTAGGGGGCTTCCCCCCTACTCGTCGGCTAGAAGCGGGTACCACATGGCTGACCTTGGAGCTGACCCTGCTCCTGGCTCCCTGGCTGACCTGGCCTGGTTTTCATAGTGGGGCAGCAGGACGAGCCTCTTCGGTATTGCGGAAAGCACATGGCATCTGTTTGTCCCCCCGGAAGCGCTTGTCCATGTCTCAGGAGGCCTCTGGGCCCACACTAGGTCTGGTCTCACCCCCAGGGGTGTCCCCGGACTACTAGATCCTGGGGCCACCAAGGCAAGCCTGGGCCTTTGCCCTGGCCTCCACAGCAGTCCCACTCCTGGCTCTTCTGAGGGTCCTTGGTTTCTCTGTAGGTCTGGGACGAGGCCAATCTGAGGGCACAAGAGTTGGCCAAAAGGGACGGCTGGGTGAATGTCCACCCATTTGACCACCCCTTAATATGGTAAGTCTGATGCCCCTCTCCCCAGGGAGTCCAGAGCTGGGAGACCCTTACTGAGTCAGGGTCCTCCCATTGGACAGAAGGAGAAACTGAGGCCCAGAGGGGAGAATAAGCTTCAAAGCCAGGCAGACATGGGTTGAGATCCCACTTCTGCCTCTTGTGAATTGTGGGACTTTGTGCAAAGCACCCAGCATCCTGTGCCTCAGTTCCTTTTATTTATTTATTTTTTGAGATGGAGTCTCGCTCTATTGCCCAGGCTGGAGTACAGTGGTGTGATCTCAGCTCACTGCAACTTCTGCCTCTTGGGTTCGAGTGATTCTCCTGCCTCAGCCTCCTGAGTAGCAGGGATTACAGGTGTGCACCACCACGCCAGGCCAATTTTTTGTATTTTTGGTGGAGACGGGGTTTCGCCATGCTGGCCAGGCTGGTGTCGGCCTCCCCAGGTGCTGGGATTACAGGCATCCTGTTCCTCAGTTTCTGTGTATGTGGAAGTGATAGTACCAAGTCTCCTTTACTGAACATGTGCTTTGGGACCAGTCACCAGGCTCATGGCTCCTCCTGCACCGTTCCATTTACCCTCCCCGCAGCCCTAGAGGTGGGTGCTATTATCCCCATTTCATAAGTGAGGAAACTGAGGCACAGTGAGGACGAACAACTTGTCCAAGATTGCACAGCTAAGAATGTGGCAGAGACAGAGAACCACAGGGCCAGGACTTGAGTCAGTTTGGTCCCAAGTGATGTACTGTCCCCTCTTAACCACACATTGCCATTGCCTCTTTGCAAAGTTGGGGAGGGGGCTAAAGGGGGTAATATCCAAGAGAGGGCCTGGGAGGTTGGAGGAGATGTAAGGGAGGAGCGAGCATGATAACGAAAATGAACGAGTCCGGGCGCGGTGGCTCCGGCCTCATGCCGGAGTGGAATCCCAGCAGTTTGGGAGGCCGAGGCAGGTGGAGCGCCTGAGGTCAGGAGCTTGAGACCATCCCGCCCAACACGGTGAAACCTCATCTCTACTAAAAATACAAAAATTAGCTGGGCATGGTGGTGCGTGCCTGTAGTCCCAGCTACTCCGGAGACTGAGGCAGGAGAATCACTTGAATTCGGGAAGTGGAGGTTGCGGTGAGCTGAGACTGGGCCACTGCACTGCAGCCTGGGAGACAGAGTGACACTGTATCCAAAAAAATAAAAATCAAGAGAATGAATGAAGCTGAGTGGAGTAACTGCTGCGGGACTTCCTCTCCCCTTGCTGTGGATGGGATGAGATGGTGGGGAGGGGGTTTATGTATATGTGGGACAGGGAACCCACTCCTGGTAAATACCCCCACCCCAGAAGCCTTTGGGGCTGGGGTCCTCCCTCACTCTGCTTCTCTCTCTCACTCACCTCCCCAGGGAAGGCCACACGAGCCTGGTGCGGGAGCTGAAGGCAGTGCTGGGGACCCCGCCAGGTGCCCTGGTGCTGGCAGTTGGGGGCGGAGGCCTCCTGGCTGGGGTGGTGGCTGGCTTGCTGGAGGTGGGCTGGCAGCATGTGCCCATCATTGCCATGGAGACCCGTGGGGCACACAGCTTCAATGCGGCCATCAAGGCTGGCAAGGTGGTCACATTGCCAGACATCACCAGGTGGGTAAAGGCTGGGGACATTTGTAGGGGGGGCTGGAGGGTGGGGGTTGCCACCGCCCTAAGGCCTTCCAGTCCCAGCCAGTAGAGACAGGAGACACCCAAAATGCTGTCCTTGGTCCTAGGACTCCAACCACAGTAATGTGGACCTAAGTTAGAAGGCAGTGCTGAAAAAGGAGATGAGGAATACGTTCACTTAAACCTCATCAATTCATAAAACAAGCCTTTATTGACATATCTTTGCAAAAGCCAACTGCGTATGTTGCAGATAAATTAGAAAATGTATGCCGGGCGAAGTGGCTTATGCCTGTAATCCCAGCACTTTGGGAGGCTGAGGTGGGCGGATTACCTGAGGTCAGGAGTTTGAGACAGCTTGGCCAACATATAGTGAAACCCCATCTCTACTAAAAATACAAACATTACCTGGGAGTGGTGGTACACACCTGTAGTCCCAGCTACTTGGGAGGCTGAGACGGGAGGATTGCTTGAGCCCAGGAGTTGGAGGCTGTAGTGTGCTCTGATGGTGCCTGTGAATAGCCACTGCACTCCAGCCTGGGAAACCTACAAGACCCTGTCCTCCTCCATACCCCAAAAAGCCAATAAATTTTAAAAAGAACGTGATCATTGAATTTAGGACCTACCCTCATCCAGTATGACTTCACCTTAATTTAACTAATTGCCTCTGCAGAGACTCTATTTCCAAGTAAGGTCACATTTTGAGGTTCTGGGTGGATGTGTATTTTTTTTTTTTTTCGAGATGGAGTCTCACTCTGTTTTCCAGGCGGAGTGCAGTGGTACGACCTCAGCTCACTGCAATCTCTGCCTCTTGGGTTCAAGTGATTCTCCTGCCTCAGCCTCCCAAATAGTTGGGATTACAGGCATATGCCACCATGCCTGGCTAACTTTGTATTTTTAGTAGAGATGGGGTTTCACCGTGTTGGCCAGGCTGGTCTTGAACTCCTGACCTCAAGTGATCCACCTACCTTGGCCTCCCAAAATGTTGGGATTACAGGTGTTGAGCCACCGCACCTGGCCTGGTTGTGCATTTTGGAAGGAGCTGTGATTCAACCCAGTACGGATCCAATCTCTGCCGGGATTCTGTTAAACACCCATTGGATACTGATACCTAGGATGTAATGGGGTATGACAGCAGGTGTGTGAAATCAAGATAGCCTTAAGTCAGCTCCTTAAATAAGCATCTACTGTGTGCAAGGCTCCAGGTGACAAATGAGAAAAACCTCAAGAAAATGATACCCGGACACAAGTCTCCTCGTCTTTCTGGTACCATCTCCAGTCTTTCTTGGGCTGCATCCGCCTTCCAGCCTTGCTGTGCTACCTTAGCCTGGAAATTCTTTAAAACAAATTTCTTTTGGTAGAGATGGGGTATTGCTGTGTTGCCCAGGCTGGTCTCGAATTCCTGGGCTCAAGCGATCCTCCTGCCTCAGCCTCTCAAAGGGCTGGGATTACAGGCATGAGCCACTGTGCTCCGCCTGCCTGGAAATCATTTGTACTGTCTTACTTCTGAACCATTGCTTGTCCTGCCCCTGCCACCTGGAATGCCAGTCATGCTCACCCTGAGGAAATCTTCTTAGACTGCTTGGGTAGCTGCTGTATCCCAGCTGGGAGACCCTCAGGGCACCGTGTTGTGCCTGCGTCACTCTTTGCTGTGTCCTGGTTTGGGTTACTGGCTGGAGTGGAGGAGCCAGAGGGTAAGGACTGGCTGATTTAGCTCTGATCCCTGATACCCACCCCAGAGCCTGGCACAGCAGAAGCACTAAGGGAAGCTCGTGGATTATGATGTCTGTATATGACACCAACATTCATCCGGGTGCTCTGACTGGGCACCTGGGTGTCACATGGGCTCCCCCCGCCCCATTGAGTTCCATCCATCTTACCTCTTAAATCCAGCTCCCTTCCAGCCTTCGTTTCCCTGGATGGGTGTAACAGCTCTCCCCAGCCCCTGTGCCACCCCTGTTGCCTTTTTAAAAAAATGGATAACATCTCTGTTGAGATCTGTTTCATGTGCCATTCGATTTACTTATTTAAAGTGTATGATTCTTTAAATAAGTAAATTTAAAGAATTTAAAGTAAATTTAAAGACCGGTGCGGTGGCTCACACCTGTAATCCCAGCGTTTTGGGAGGCTAAGAGGTGGGCGGATCACTTGAGATCAGGAGTTCAGACCAGCCTGGCCAACATGGTGAAACCTCATCCTACTAAAAAATACAAAAATTAGCCAGGCATGGTGACATGCACCTGTAATCCCAGCTACTCAGGAGGCTGAGGCAGGAGAATTGCTTGAACTCAGGAGTTGGAGGTTGCAATGAGCTGAGATCAGGCTACTGCTCTCCAGCCTGGGTGACAGAGTAAGACCCAGTCTCAAAAATAAATAAATAAATAAATAAATAAATAAAAAGATGTACTATTCAATGGTTTTAGTAGATTCACAGAGTTGTGCGACCATCATCACAATCAATTTTAGAACATTTTTATCGCCTCCAAGAGAAACTCCACACCCTTTGGCCATCACCCACCATGTCCCTTATTCCCACACCCCAGCCCTAGGCAAATACTACTTTACTTATGTCTCCACGGATTTGCCTATTATGGACTTTTCTTTTCCTTCCTTCCTCCCTTCCTTCCTTCCTCCCTCCCTCCCTCCTTC